GCGAGTTCAGCCTGTCGAGCATCTCCGCGCTGACGATGGGCCAGTCTAGCTCCGAAGGCGGCTTGGACAAGGAGCGCTGGCAGGTGCCCACTCCAAGGCGGCTTGGACAAGGAACGCTGGCAGGCGCCCACTCCCGCGTCGACAACGTGACCGCCGATCTTGCAGAGCCAGTTGGCCGCGCGCTCGTGGAACCTGCCGGGCTCGACGTTCCAGTCGCCAGCCAGCGCCCGCAGCTTGCCCGTGCGCTTTGGGGGGGCGCCGATCTCCTGGAGCACGGCCTTGCCAGTCTCGCCGACGTCGTCGTTGTCGAGGTATGCAGGCCCGAGCAAGAAGCCGCCTGGCACCACGCCGTTGGCGCGGGTGATCGTGGCCCTGCCGTCGTAGACGTGGCAGCTCTTCCTGTCGCCGTGCCCGTCTGGGCCGCGCATGCCGCGGGCCGAGCGCACCGCCACCCCCGCGTCGCCGCTGACGGCGCGCTGCGCAGGGGCGCCAGCGGCAGCGACGCCTGGGGTCAGGGCGGCGCCCCAGCCGACCTGGCGGCACAACTGCTCATGCTCGACGGCGCGGTGGCCGTTGAGGTGGTGCTCCTGGATACACAGCGCGTCGCCCAAGTGCGGCTGGGCGACCGGGTCCTGCGGGGGGCCCTGCTGCCCCCCAGGGGTAGTGGCGAAAAGGCCCCCAGCTGCTGCCGTTGAGGCTCGCGACGGTGAGGTCGGGCCTGCTACCCTCGCTTCCCCCGTCGCCGAAGCCCCGCTGAACGGAGACCTGCGAGGAGCTTCTGGGTGCAGAGCTTGCGCTGAGCCGCTGCCTTGGCCGCTGGGTCGGCGGCTTGAGCTGCGGCGCGGTCGGCGCCGCCGCCCGCGGCGGAGTCTTCCTCCGCGGCCTCCTCCTCCATGATGCTGTCGACGATGTTGCCCAGGTCGGCCTCGTCCAGCTCCTGTTCGCCCCCGCTGGCGCCGTCGCGCTCCGCAGCTGCACCCGCCGAGGCGACGCGTTGAGCCAGCTGTCGAAGTTCAGAGACTTGTTCCTCCCATCGGGCTGCGTACCCTGCGTTGAGCATTCCTGCGGCTCGGTCGATCGACGCCAAGAAGGCGGTGGCGCGCTCGCCCTCAGAGGGGTCGGTTGCTGGTACCGCGGCCTGCAAGCTGAAGGGCGCCCTCCCGATCCCGTCGGTGCTTGACCAGTAGGTTGTCGATGAGGGCCGGTAGTCCAGCCTCCATGGCCTTGCCCTGCTCGCGTTCCCCTTTCAGCTCGAGTTTCTGCGCCTGGAGGTTCTCGACCTCCTGTGTGGTAGACGAGATCTTGTGCTCCAGTGCCTCAGTTGTGCTCTGCTGGTTCTTCTGTTTGCGCTCGAGTTCGCTGAGTTGGGCGGCTTCTACCCTCTCGAGCTTTTTTGGTTTCACTTCGTAGTTTCCCAAGCCACCGTGCTCGCTCGTCCTTCCTCGGCGGTTGTTGCCCTTCGCCGCTGCCGACAGCGCCGCCACCGGCGCCTGCGGACTGAGTGACGCTTTCGAGCTTCTTGACCTTCCTGCGCAGCTGGTTGAGCTCGTGGCGTTCCTTGGCGTCCAGCCGTGACATGCCAGTCCACCATGGGCCTGCACCAGGTCCTTGCTCCCACCAATCACAACCGCAGCTCCGACATGTGTGCCTGGAACCCCAGTTCTTCTTGGCTCCGCATTGCGGGTCGTCCCAGGCCTTGGGCTGGCTGGCTCCGCCTCCGCCTGGCTGGCCCCCTCCTCGTCGTCCCCGCCACCACGCGCGGCACTTCGAGCACCACCTCCACCTCCCATTGGTCGAACCCGCGAGGGCTGGGGTCCCAATCGGGCGATTGAGGCCGGGTGTCGGAAAAGGTGTGTATATGAAATAACTGTGGCCGTGAAGGCCTCGCTGAAAGATTGGTCGATTTGGAATCTGACCCAAGCAGTGACGCGACGGCCAGAGCCAGTCACATGGGACCAGACATCTGCCCTGATCGCATCATCTTGAGCCAACATGGCTACGGCTGGTGATGGTGATGATGATGATGCTGATGCTGATGCTGATGCTGCTGCTGATGATGATGATGATGATGATGATGATGATGATGACAACGACGATGGTGATGGTGATGGTGCGGAGGAGAAGGATTGGGGAGGATGAGGACGAGGACGGTGTAGGATGATGACGAAGCTGGGAACCGGAGGATGGGGGCGACCCGGACAACGTCGAACATGATGATGCTGATGATAATGATGATGATGATGATGATTATGATAACGGTGATGTTGATGATGATATTGATGATGATGTTGATTAGGATGATGATGGATGATGATGATGATGATGATGATGATGATGATGGTGATGGTGATGGTGATGGTGATGGTGATGGTGATGATATGATGATGCTGATGATGATGATGATGGTGGTAGTGGTGGTGGTGGTGGTGGTGCTCTGATGGTGCTGATGATGATCATGATGATGCTGATGACGAGGATGATGCTGATGGTGCTTATGATGGTTATGCTGATGATGCTGCTGATGGTGATGGTGGTGGTGGTGGTGGTGGTGGTGGTGGTGATGGTGATGGCGAGGGCGATGGCGATGCGGAGGAGGATGCGGAGGAGGATCAGGAGGAAGCTTGGAGCAGGATGACGAGGGCGACCAGGACAACGACGACCATAATGACGATGGTGGTGGTGGTGGTGATGATGATGATGATGATGATGATGATGATGACATTGGTGATGCTGATGATGATGGTCGTGGCGGTGATGATAATGCAGATGATGATGATGATGATGATGCTGATGATGATGCTGATGATGATGATGATGGTAAGTATGATGATGATGATGATGTTGATGATGTTGTTGTTGTTGTTGTTGGTGGTGGTGATGATGATGATGCTGCTGATGATGATGACGGTGGTGACGACGATGATGATGATGATGATGATGATGATGATGATATGGATAGTAATGTTGATGATGATGATGATTGTAATGATGATGATAATGGTGGTGATGATGATGATGATGATGATGATGATGATGATGATGATGATGATGATGATGATGATGATGATGATGATGATGATGATGGTGGGTGGGTGGTGGTGGTGGTGGTGGTGGTGGTGGTGGTGGTGGTGGTGGTGGTGGTGGTGGTGGTGGTGGTGGTGGTGGTGGTGGTGGTGGTGGTGGTGGTGGTGGTGGTGGTGGTGGTGGTGGTGGTGGTGGTGGTGGTGGTGGTGGTGGTGGTGGTGGTGGTGGTGGTGGTGGTGGTGGTGGTGATGATGGTGGTGGTGGTGGTGGAGGAGGAGGAGGAGGAAATAGAGTTGGAGCTAGGGTTGCCAGATCCAGCTAGTCGGGCTTCCCCGGTCACTTCTAACCCTTCAACAACTATGGACACTGATGGTGACACGATTTGCGCCAGTCTGCGCCGTGAATATTCAAGCAGGGTCTTCCCGCCATGAGCTCACTTTGCGCTTTCCCGCAAGATTTCTCACGGCAGGGGGGGTGATCACGAGTGGCAGTTCCGCGCTACTCGTCAATCACGCTTTGCAACGTTTGGCCTCGCTATTGGACCATGCGTTCCCCCAGCCGTTGTGGAAGCCCTTCGGGGAACCCGTGGGGAAGGAAGAGTATGGGGAGGAATATGAGGAGGAGGAGGAGAAGGAGGAGGAAGAGGAGGAGGAGGAGGAGGAGGAGAATCCGTAGCCATTTGGGCTCAGGGTTGTTTTGTTGGCCTACGGGCCCCAAGCCACCCAGACGGATTCCTCGGTATAGAATTACTTTCCATACTTGAGTTTCAAAGCCTAGCTTGCCATGTCGGCAGGGTAAGAGGTGCGCGCGCGCGCCACTTCTCCCGGGAGCGAGGTCGACCCCCGCTGATGCGATGTCTCTTTTCGAAGGTCGTGCCCTCTTCTCGTAGAGCGTTTTGCAGTCCTGCTCCGGCTCCCTGGCCACGCCGCTGCATGACTTTGGCCCTCAGTCCGAGGCACTTCCTGTCGGTCTGGCTCTCGGGGCAGAGCTGGGGCCGCAGGGGCAATGCAGGGCAGTGCCACCGAGACGTACTCGCTGGGGGGGCGGCCCCCACCCTGCAGGGGGTGCATGCCAGAGGGACTCCTTCCCGTCGCACGGGGAGGGCCCCTGCTCCGCACCTCGTGTTCGCGTGCGGCGTGCTTGCTGCCTGCCAGTGGTCACTAGCCCTGGTCGGCATGGGAAATGGAGCTGGACCAGGCGCGCTGCCCTCGCTCGCCACTGGCACGGTGCAGCTGCGCGGGGCAGGCTCCGCAGGGCCCCCGCCGTCAGTTGCCGCACCTGTTGCAGGCTGGCCCTCACGCGTCTCCAGGCGTGCCTGGTGCGTGTGGTTGGGCACTCCTCCTCCTCCTCCTCCTCCTCCTCCTCCTCCTCCTCCTCCTCCTCTTCCTCCTCCTCTTCCTCCTCCTCCTCCTCCTCCTCCTCCTCCTCCTCCTCCTCCTCCTCCTCCTCCTCTCAGTGGCACGATTGGCTCCCCTCTTTCTGGGGCGCCGCCTGTAACACGTTTTGGTGGCCTCGGAGGCAGCCCCTGGCATTCTGCCGCGCCTCGACGCTCCAGGGGGGGCTGCGTGCGTATACGGTGCGACACAAACTGCGTCATGTGCCTGGCCAGTCAGGCACGGCATCGTGCCAGGGTTGGTGGTAGCTTGGCTCCTTGCAGAGGAGCACGATGTGACGAGAACGACGCGGGCCAAGATTTCCAGGAATCCCACGGTTCCCAAGGTCCCCGCACGGGCTCCAGAAACGAGGGTCGCTAGATGCTCTGGAGATCGTGGGCCGCATCCTGTGCCGATCCGCTCATGACATCGATATTGTACTCTTCTTTTTATTATGCTCCTTCTTCTTCTTCTTCTTCTCATTAGTATTTGTTATTATTGATATTATTATTATTCTTCTTCTTCTTACCCTCCTCTGATCTCTTCACCTGCCCTTCCGCTGATGCTCTGCCCCCGCGTGATCAGCCCCTCCCGCGTCCGTAGGCCGACGGCCGGCTACCCGACGAGGCCGCGCACGCGCTCGCAGTCGCCGACCCGCAGGCCAGTCCTCTCGGGGGCGCTGACCGCCGCCGCTGCAGGCAGAGGTCGGTCGGTCGAGAAGAGGCCGTGCTTTTCCTTGTGGTAAGTGATCCGTGCCCTTGGTCGCAAAAGACAGGGAAGAAAAAACAGAAACAGCGTAACATGAGAATCTTGGTGGAGATATTTGGATTGCCATCGTAGTTGGCACCACCCAGTAAAAGGTGAAGGACTGGCAGTTGAGGCGAACAGCATTCTATATCTAAGGTCAGTCCTTTTCTCGGAGCGCGGTTGGCTGCTGCCTGTGGCGGCAGCGACGTGGTCGTAAGTATACAATAGGGCCAAGCAGAAGTGAGTGAAACAACGTTTAAGCATTGTGCCTGGCGATGCTCTGCCTCTGACGCCTTGATTGCAAGAGACAGGCCAACCGACGTGCGCCGCGGTGGCCTGGCACCGCAAGGCGTGGAAGCTGGCACGGCCTCGCGTTACAGGCCGAGCGGCGTTCACAAGTGCGAGTGGGCGGGGGAGGCCGTCGCCTGCGAGGGGGGCAGACGCCTGCGGCCACTGATGAAAGCTACCCCCTGCGGGTGCCATCGATGCCGGGGCAGCGGACACACCCTGCTGTGGTTTTTCTCGGCTGCAGACATCCCTCGGATTCGGACCCCCAGCCTGTTTCTCAGAACTTTGGCTTGCAGGGGTGGGGCCCGCATGCGGCTGCTCAAGCCGGGCGGGGCTAGGATTAAGTCGGGCCTGTCCCTCTACAGGGGGGATATTCAAACATAGGAAAAAATAGTATGGGGACTATTCTTTGGGTATTTATGGGGCATCTTCTGTGTATTTTTGGTGCATTTTTTTTGAATTCTTTCGCCCAAGATCCTCCTGTAGGGGGACAGGCCCGACTGAAGGTTAGGAGAGGGACATGTCGTTCTTGCCACGCGTGGTGGCCTAAGACTTCTGCCCAGGGCCTCGCACCGCACGGGTGGCTCGCACCGCCCCGCTGCCTGCGGCGACGCCGGTGCGGGGATGGTGGTGCTGAAGACCCTCCCGGGGGCCAGCCCCGAGCCCCAGGCCCACAGAAGTTCTTGGCGCCGCGTGCTCGGTGCCGTCGGTGTGAGCGTCTACAGCGGCATCGACATCAGCGCAGTCGTCGATCCGATCAGCGCCGCCGGCAGCTCTGAGCACAAGTGCCAGCTGGTCGTTTCATCGTCATGTCCTCTCGACATTCTCGCCCAAAGACCCCTCCTGGTCCGCCATGCCTCAGCGCTCGCAGGGATCTCCATCCGCCCGTCCAGGAACGAGGCCCAGGGGAGGTGCTTGGAGGAGGGGCGCAGGTAACTCACATCGTGAAGTAAGGACGGCAAGAGTGGTGGGATGCACAAACCACAGGGCGGCCCTTTGGAGCCATCTCGGAGCTCTTTTGGAAGTTGTTGTGCATCTTTGGGGGCCCTCTTGGGGCCCTCTTGGGGGCCTCTTGGGGCCCTCTTGAGGCCATCGATCAGAGAACGGGGGGCTCTTCATGTCAGCCCTCCTGTCGGAAGCCGACCATTTTTTTCTTGGCGCCTTCTTGGGGCACCATTGGGCGCTCTTCGGGCCCCTCGTCGGGCCCTCTTGGGCCCCTCATGGGCGATCTTGGAGCCCTCTTGAGGTCCCAAAAGGCTCGTCGGAAGCGAACATGCGAGAAGACAACGTTCATGTATTCCTTTACGCTTTGGAGAGATTTTGGCCTCTCGAGGGCTTCCTTGGCAGGGTCCCTGGCCGCTTGGAACCCCCTCGGGGCGATCTTCGGGCCGCTTGAAGGCAGGTCGGAAGCTATCTAACCATCTTCCACTATCTGGTGTGATTCTGCGGCCATCTTGGGCGCTCTGACCGCTCGCGACTGGCCCCGTTCAGACCCAGGGGTAGCGGGTAGGGGGAGGAGTCAAGCTACCCACAAGACGCAAGCCGTCTCGCTCACTTCAACCCACCCTCTCAACATAGAAGTAAGACCCGAGTCTCCGCATGGGCAGGGGCCGCCATCGACAACTACCGACCGGGAACCAATGCAGACGCCAGCCAAGTGTGCGACGCAAACGATGTGCGCCATGCGTGCCAGGGCACTCCAATCGTCCCTGTCAAACAGCAGCGCGAAATGAATGCGGGCACCCGTGCATGGTCCAAGATTTTGCCGCAACGTGCACTTTGCATCTGCTTTTGATGAGCCTACACACGTGGGCAATATGCTACCCCTCCTCATCCCTGTGCAAATCCAGTGTCTAGTGACCGCGGGGCGCCCGATTATGATTCGGAGTTTGCCAAGAAGTGCATTTTGCATTGTCTTGGCATGGATGGCGCGTGTGTGTGTGTGTGTGTGTGTGTGTGTGCCCGCCATTGCTCTGGTAGGGACTGGGACTGGTAGAGTGCGGGAGAGGGCGTACACTGATCAGAAGGAGCAGTGAGGCACCCCTCTCCGAGGGGGGAGAATGAGGGTTGGCACACTTACAGTCCACGCGCCCAGTAAGGACGCGCGCCTTCCTCTAGGATACCCTTGCGTCCTTGCCTCTGTGGCCCGTCCTCTGCCGCTTTCACTGGTCGCCGCCGCCCAGAAAAATCCCAACTTCAGCCTCCAGGGGCCTTGCGTCCTCACCACGCGTCCTCAACATACGTTTTGACTGTACCAGCAGCTCCGCAGACCACTCGCGCCCAGACGGGCCGGCAGGGCCAGTCCGTGGCGCGAGGGGTCCGCACGGGGGGCGGGCTCGAGCGCCTCTGGGAAAGACCGGAGGCCTCGTCGCCAACGGCGGGAGGCTGCCAGGACCATGCTCTGCGCTCCTCGTCTTCGGCGGTTCAAGGACGGGGCCTCGAGGGCTGGGGCCCTACAGTGCCGTCTTTGATACATGCTCCGCGTGCGGATCGTGTATTGAAAATGCAGGGATTTGGTGTTAAGATCAGCGATGAGTTCATGCATAGATTTATTCATAGATTAGTCATGTATCAAAAATTCCATATTTTCAGAAATCCTATGTATTGATAACTGCCCTGTACATGGGCGTGATGTCAGTTTCGCCCAATTTTGCCCCTGCGGCGCCTTTGGGCACGACGCAGTGGAACGTCAAAAGATGCAGACGAGCACAAGGCCATCCCGCAAGGCACCTGTCGATCGATTGTTTCGAACCAGGTCCGAGCCTGCTTCGAACCTGCCTCGCGAGGAACGCTCACTTTGCTACTGTTCTGAACCAAGTCCGAACCTGGTTCGAGCCTGTTTCGCGACGAACTCCCGCACGAAACGCTCACTTTTCTTTTGTTTGGAACCGAGTTCGAACCTGGTTCGAACCCGATTTTCGAGGAATTCCCGCACGAGACGCTCACTTCTCTATTGTTTGGAACCGAGTTCGAACCCGGTTCGAACCCGCTGTTCGAGGAAGTCCCGCACGAGACGCGTACTTTTCTATTGTTTGGAACCGATTTGGGAACCTGGTTCGAACCTGCGTTTCGAGGAAGTCCCGCACGAGACGCCCACGTTTCTATTGATTGGAACCGACATCTATTGTTTGGAACCTGGTTCGATTTTTTTAAAAGGAAGGTCCACGCGGTTCGCTGTTTTGGAACCGCCATCTCAGCTAGCTTCATAGATGTTTGGAGGTACAGGCCCGAGGCTGCCCGCCCCCGGCTGGTACAGCTCCACCCCCGCCAGATTCTACCAGGCTCCGCGCACCCATCGGGGCATCTCCGATCCACGGTGCGCCAGCTTGTCTGCACCGGGCGATCGCCCACGATCTCTTACAGTGCATTTTTAAAACATGCTCCGCGTGCGGATCATGAAATAAATTTAGTATTCGAAACAGCGATGAGCTCATGCATACATTTATTCATAGCTTAACCATGTATACAAATCTTGTTTTGTAAAAGACCTATGTATTTAAAAACTACCCTGTACCCTGCGCTCCCCTTCCTCGACGGTTTATTGATGGGGCCCCGAGGGCGGGGCCCTATGCGGTCGAGCCTCTGTTCGAGCAGCCTCCCCCCGAGGAGCTGGGCCCCGGCGCCTCTCGGCCCGCCTGCCGGGAAGCTGGCCCGGGTGCTTGAGCGGGTATAGCCAGGACCTCCTCCTCCTCCTCCTCCTCCTCCTCCTCCTCCTCCTGCTCCTGCTCCTCCTCCTCCTCCTCCTCCTCCTCCTCCTCCTCCTCCGCTCTGCTCCGCTCCCTGGGTAAGGGGACCCGGTCAGTGGTAGGGCCCTGGGGCCCCTCAGTTGGCCAGATTCATTGAGCCAGGTTTGCCGTAACTGGTACTTTTCGGGGGACGGCAGTTCCGGTTAGCGGAACGGGGCGGGGGGGGCGCCCCCCGGTGCACATCACCAAACCAGGTTCCACTAAACCCAGTTCGGCCAACGCCCGACTTGAGCACGTTCGCCCCTCCACTTGGCATCGCTCGGACGTGTGCATGTTCTTCTCGGCGAGGACCATCGAAGAGCAGCTTGGATCACCGTGCGAAGAAAAAAAGACGCACGAAGCCGAAGAACGCGCGGGGAAGGGACGCTCGAGCGGTGGCGAGTCCAGCGTGCGAGGTAGACGCGGGCCCAGGGTTGCCCTCACAAGCCTCCGGGAGGCTGGCCCAGATCTCTTAAGTGATCGTTTTCTTGATGATCCTTTCGGCCACAAGCCGGCCACGCGCAGAGGGGGGTAGGGGGAGGGGGGGAGGCGTCTTGGAAGCACCCCTGCTTCTTAGCAGCGGCGGGCCCTGTTTGTAGATGTAAGGCCCGCGCCTTCTAAGAAGCAGCATCCTTCTATGGAGCCTTCCCTCCTCCCTACCCCCTTGTGCGCGCTGCCAAGTAAGGATAGGAAGAGACCCCGGGTTGGATTTGCACTGCTCCATGCCCCTCGTCCTCGGGGCCCCATCCGCTGGGGACTCCTCCTTGAAGCGCCGCCTCCCTTTCCTCTGCCTCGCCTGGCCCTCGCCCCACGTCTACCCCTCCCCCTCCGCTCCCTCCTCCCCCTCCTCCCGCTCCGATTCCCCCCCCCCCTCCCCCTCTCCTTTCACACCCGCTCGGGCCAGCACACTCCCCTCGCATCCCCTCCCTCCCTCTCCCGCTCCCCCCCCTTCCGTTTCCCCCTTCCCTCGCCCCGCATCGCTCACATTCCCCTTCCCTCTCCTGCTCTTCCCCCTCTCCTGCTGCGGCCCTTCGGAGGGTGGGCCGAGTGTGCGGCTGCTGGAATGTCGTTGGTCCCCACGCTGCCCGCCCGATTTCGAAGCCCGTCGTCGCCACCTCCGCTTCCCAGGCGGACACCAACCCTGTGCCTGCAGACGTTTTGAGCCGCGTCAGGCCTGGGCCCCTCTCAGAAGACGCGGTGATTGGATGTGCACCGGACCTGCCGCCGCACACACCCGTCGGCAGCCGCCCTCTCGCCGTCTTTCGGGAGCCTTCCCCCTTGGCCTTTTCCTCTCGTCAACCCCTCTGGCCAGCTGGTCCTCTCGGCCGTTTTCCGCTCGGCTTGCCCTCACACGGGCTTCCAACCAGACGCTGTCCCCAGGCGACTTTGGTTGGCCATCTGGTTCGGTTTGGCGGTTTTGAGAGGTCGACGTTTGGTCAGTCACCCAGCCCGTGCAAGGCCAATCGGGACGTAAATGTAGAGTCACGCCTTAATGGCAGAGGATTAGTTTGCTTGTGGGGGTTGAAGGAGGAGTTGAAGGAGGAGGAGGAGGAGGAGGAGGAGGAGGAGGAGGAGACATGGGGGGAGGTGGCGCCGAAAATCCTAGAGGAGAACAGGATCATCATGCTTTGCTGGGGCCCGGAGGAGACGAGGGAGTGGTGGGCGCAGTCGCCCCGGCCCTCGGCTCTCTCCCCCGGCTCGTCCACCGATGGCGCCCGCCGCGCTTTCTCCGCCGAGGCCACCGCATCCGCCCCCCGCTGCGCCCCCCGCGGCGCCCGCGCCAGCCGCTCCCGCCGCGCCAGCCGCGCCAGCCTCCGCAGGGTACCCCTCCGCAGCAGCGGCGCCTGCCCCCCCAGCGGCGCCAGCAGCGCCGGCCCCCGCGGCGGCGCCGCCGGCCTCCGAGGAGCCTGCCACCCTGCCGGCGTGCGCCGTGGCGCCCGCCGCGCCCGCCTCCGCAGCGGGGCTGGCCTCCCCATCGGGGACAGCCGCGCCCACCCCTCCGGCGGCTCGGCCAGCTCCCGCCGTGGCGATGGTGGCGCATGCCGCGCCCGCCGCAGTGGCTGCCTTGGCGGCGCCAGCAGCGCCGGCCTCCGCGGCGGCGCCGCCAGCTGCCACTGCGGCGGTTCCAGCCGCGCCGACCTCGCTGGCCGCGCCCTCCTCCGCAGTGGCGCCAGATTGCCTAGAGGCGCCAGCCGCGGCCGCCTCCCCAGAGGTTCCATTGGCCGTCTCCCTTGTGGCCTCCATGGCCGCGCCCGCTTCCACAGCGGCGCCTGCCCCCCAGGCGGTACTGGCAGCGCCCACCTCCCCAGCGGCGCTGCCAGTCCCCGCGGGGGCGATGGCGGGGCAGGCCGCGCCAGCCGCCGCATCGGCCTCCATTGTGACGCAAGCAGCGCTGGCTTCCCCAGCGTTGCCGCCAGCCCCCGCAGCGGTGGTTCCACCCTCGCCGACCGCGATGGCCACGCCCGCTTCCGCAGTGCCGTTCGTTTCCCTGGAGGCGCCAGCAGCGCCCGCTTCAAGGCCGGCGCTGCTGGCCGCAGCGTCCGCCTCCGCAGGGGCGCTTGCCTCCCCAGCGACGTCAGCAGCGCCATCAGCGCTGGCACCCGCAGCTGCGCCGCAGGCCTCCGAGGAGACGACCACCCTGCCAGCGTGCGCCATGGCGCCAGCCGCGCCCGCCTCCGCAGCGGGGCTGGCTTCCCCAACGGGGAAAGCCGCGCCCACCTCTCCGGCGGCTCTGCCAGCTCCCGCCGTGGCGATGGTGGCGCATGCGGCGCCCGCCGCATTGGCTGCCTTGGCGGCGCCAGCAGCACCGGCCTCCACGGCGGCGCCGCCAGCTGCCACTGCGGCGGTTCCAGCCGCGCCGACCTCGCTGGCCGCACCTGCCTCCGCAGTGGCGCCAGTTTGCCTGGAGGCGCCAGCCGCGGCCGCCTCCCCAGCGGTTCCATTGGCCTTCTCCCCTGTGGCCTCTCTGGCCGCGCCCGCCTCCACAGCGGCGCTTGCCCCCCGGGCGGTACTGGCAGCGCCCACCTCCCCAGCGGCGCTGCCAGTCCCCGCGGGGGCGATGGCGGGGCAGGCCGCGCCAGCCGCCGCATCGGCCGCCATTGTGGTGTCAGCAGCGCCATCAGCGCTGGCACCCGCGGCTGCGCCGCAGGCCTCCGAGGAGACGACCACCCTGCCAGCGTGCGCCATGGCGCCAGCCGCGCCCGCCTCCGCAGCGGGGCTGGCTTCCCCAACGGGGAAAACCCCGCCCACCTCTCCGGCGGCTCTGCCAGCTCCCGCCGTGGCGATGGTGGCGCATGCCGCGCCCGCCGCATTGGCTGCCTTGGCGGCGCCAGCAGCGCCGGCCTCCGCGGCGGCGCCGCCAGCTGCCACTGCGGCGGTTCCAGCCGCGCCGACCTCGCTGGCCGCGCCCTCCTCCGCAGTGGCGCTTGCCTCCCCAGCGACGCCAGCAGCGCCAGCGGCGCCTGCACCAGCAGCGGCGCCGCCGGCCTCCGAAGAGCCGGCCACCTCGCCAGTGCGCGCAGTGGCGCCCGCCGCGCCCGCCTCCGCAGCGGCGCTGGTCTCCCCGGCGGCGCTTCTAGCAGCGCCCACCTCCCCTGCCGTGCAGGGCGCGCCGATGGCCGCGTCGGCCGCCTTGGTGGTGCCAGCAGCGCCGGCCTCCCCGGCGTTGCCGCCGGCCTCCCCGGCGGCGCGTCCAGCCTCTCCGGCCGCGCTGGCCGCGCCCGCCGCCGCAGCGCCGCTCGTGGCCCCCGCGGCGCCCGCAGCACCCGCCTCGTGGGCGGCGCCGCAGACTGCCTCCCCTGCGGCACTCCCCTCCGGGGCGGCGCATGCCCTGGCCCCGTCCGCGTCGACGGCCGCGGCGCAGCGCGGGCCCGAGCTGCCGCCCCCGACTGGCGTGGCAGTGGTGAGGTCGGTCGAGGCGCCGCCCGAGCAGACGCCAGAGGCAGCCGCAGCAGGCGCCTCCAGCCGACACCAGGGCCCCCGAACCGCGGCATCGCCGACCACAGCCCTCCGCGACATCGAGCGCAGTTTTTGATCCCCCCCTCCCCAAACCCCCGACGTCATGATTTTTTCATGACGTCGACCCCCCGAGGTCTCGACCCATTCCCCGGGACCGGTTTTTCGTCCTGAGTCGTTTTTTGACGGTCCCGAGGGCCGGTAAGGGCCCCCAAAGGCCAAAAATGGTGAAAAACCTTCCGTCGTGATTTTTTCATAACTCGAGGGGGTCTGGGTCCCCCGCCCCCCGATTTCAGTGCTCAGCGACTCGCGCAACGCAGCCCCATGGGGTCCGGACAAGCACGGCAGCCGCCGGTGTCGGCGCGAACATGGACGTTGGAGGTCCCCGGGCGCCGCCGCGTCGCGGGCAGAGGCCGATGTCGCACCCCCTCCCCCTCCCCCTCCTCCTCCTCCTCCTCCTCCTCCTCCTCCTCCTCCTCCTCCTCCTCCTCCTCCTCCTCCTCCTCCCCCTCCTCCTCCTCCTCCTCCTCCTCCTCCTCCTCCTCCTCCTCCTCCTCCTCCTCCTCCTCCTCCTCCTCCTCCTCCTCCTCCTCCTCCTCCTCCTCCCAGAGGGGCGCAGGACTTTGCAGAGTCCGCCCGGAGACAACGGACCACGGAGAAGGCTTCGGAGCCCACGGCCGCAGTCTTCTCGGGCGCGCCGGCGCCCTGGCTTCATCGGAGTCCCTGGGGGCAGGTAGGGGGCCACATGCGAACCCTACGCCTACCCCCCACGATTTCTGAGGGGGAGGGTGGGGTTCACCTCGTTCGGGAGCTCCCGAGCGCAGTGTGTGTGAATCCCCCTACTTTCCTCCTATCTTGCTCATATCCATCGCCCCTCTTGGCTCGGATGACAGGTACTCGATACTTGGAGGTACGTTGGGTAAAACCATCGTCCCTCATCGTCTACCGACGGACACTCGGGGGTGGGGTCGGTCCATTGGTCCTCCTCACCCTCACACAGGTTATCAGCCTTCTCTTTTATATCCGACATCGCGTCCAACCTGCGCCCCGACCTGACGACATCGGACTAGTTATGCGAGATGACGGCACGACACCAGTCGTCCGTCCTCCCGCATGATGAGTCGTCGCCGTCAGTCGCGCGCAACTTGGATGCTGATATGTCCGATATTCTAGGAGCTTCCCCCAATTTTGCGGCCCGCATGGCCATCTCTCCAGGAACCGACGGATTGGACGAAGCTATGCCCCCACCCAGTGCAGCGCAGTCAATGCAGCGGGAAACCGCAGCAATGCCAGCGTTGCCCACCCAGGCGGCACTTCAGCTCCACGCTATGCAAGCTGAGTTGCAACAGCTTCGTGCCTTGCATGCTCATAGCGTTTCCGCACCCCCACTTCCTATTGGAGATCAGACCCCCCTACAGCAGCGATTCTTACACGCCGCTCCAGGGCTCACGCCTCAATTCCCCACCCTTCATACCACATCTGACGTCCCTCCCGCAGCACTGCACCAGTCAGCGCAGCGGGATACCGCAGCTCCACACATGCCTACACCTTCCTCCCCTCCGAGAGAGAGAGGCACAGGCACACGAAGGTGGGGCCATGGGACGCCCGAACAAACAGGGATTGAACAGGGACAGGTTTATGAGCGAGTCCGTGAATTCGAAAACCGTACTTCTGACCATGGCCCTAGTCGCCGTGCTCATTCTAAGAGCCAAGCTCCCAGGCGTGGCCCCGAACAGTACATTATTCGAGACGATCGCGGCAGTAGGAGTCCATCTGTCCGGGGGGTTCGTATTAGGCCCCATAGTTCCCCAGCCGCAAACCGACATAGGGAGGCTCTGCCAATGCAAGACATGGCTGAGCTACGAGATCACGTGCACACATACGTTGAATATCAAACTAGCCTCGTCCACAAGGCTGTGGCCTCTGATACCGCCGTCCTCCGGAGTGACCTCCAACAGGGTCTTTCGATCCTGGACGCTGCCGTCCAAGAGGACCGTCGGATCATGCAACAGCTGATGCAGCGTCTCGATACACAACGAGATCGCGAGACTAACGAACTTGTGGCCGTCAAGTCCGACTTCGATCGACTTGAAGCTAGCGTCATTCAGATTCGTCAACACAACGATGAACGTGCACGCATTCTTCGCGAAGAGCTGCGAGAAGTCGCGGGCACAGCTTCAGGTGCCTTCGGAGCGCCTTCCACCGCACTACAAGGTCATATTGCCACGATCCGTGGTGAAACGGAAGCTGCAGCACGTGAGCTGCACGATTATACACGCTCCGTTCAGCAAGATTTGTATGGCAAGTTATGTGAGGCCGAGAACGCTTTCCAAGCTCAACTCTCTTCCTGTCAGGTTCAACATGTACCACAGCTTCTATCCAGAGTCCACACTCTCGAGCAGACCGTAGCTGAGCTGCAGGTCGCACGGGCTCATACTGCGCAGGTGAGTCCCACTGCTACGGTGACCAACCCCGACGTGACGGCAGCTGTTCTACAGACCGTCCGAGCGGAGGTGGCCCACTTGCAAAGGCAGCTGCAGGATTCTGTGGCCGAGAGGGATGCCGAGTCAGCACGCGCGAATGCGCGCCTGGATCAAATGAACGCTGAGATGGCTCGTCTTGCTAACGAGAATGTTGACCTGCGTACTCTAATTGTCAATCTTACTACCCACAATAAGGATGACGTTCGATTCCTCACAGACACTCAGAAACATCAACACGCTGAATGGGAAGTATTGTCTGATTGTGTCGCAAAACTGCAAGCAGACAACACCACGCTTGAGCAAACAATACAAGATCACATCGCGGACGCAGCCAAACATACACCTGATACCGGCTATCGCCGCCCCTCCCCTGACGCCGCTGCTCGCGATGCGGGGGGTTCTACTGGGGCCGCTTCCAAGCCGACACTTCCTCAGGCAGGAACTGGTGCTGACGAGCAGCGGGGAACCGCAGCCCAGCCTTCTGCCCCTGAGACAGCTGCAGACAATGCTAGCTTTCGAACACACTCTCCCATTAATATAGGTACACTCGGCTCCAACGTTGCGCAATCCCCGTATAATGCTGGCGGGTCACTACTTCCTGCCACAGTCAAAGAAAGTGACCGTGTTCGGGTCCCAGGCTTCCCTAAGATCACAGGAGTCGCCGATTGGATGAACGGAGTCCGCAAGGGTTTCAGAAACGCCTCTGGACGCCCAGCTCAGGCGTACGCCTTCATCATGGTAGCGGAGAACCCTGAGATGACTTTTGAGGATCTCGCCGACAGCGGCGACTTCGAGAGCCTCGACTGTAAGTTAGCTGACGCTCTTCTCGAGATCCTCCCACATGAGTTAAGATTGCAAATGAAGCTGTTAGAGGACGTTGAACACAAAGCCAAGCGCATGCTTAAAGGACGTCAGGTATATCAGAAGATTATCCGTTCATTTGACGTCACCGTTGCCGAGGATCACCTTCACGACTTTGATCGCATTAAGAATCTACGCATGCACGGAGACGATCTCCAGCGTTTCATCGTCGAATGGGATCGATTACTATTGGCTCTTAACAAACTACCCGAGATGTACATCATGGAATCCCTCTTTCGTACTCAGGTTCAGAGACATCCTTGGATGAAAGAAGACATGAGCAAATACAACAAAGCCAGGGCTGGAGCCAAAGATGAGAACGGAGAGGAGATCAAGACATACAATTGGCTCCATCAAAGAGTTTACGACGTTCTTGATTTACACAAGCTACAGAAGAATCAATACAGCATGCAAAAAGAATCGCGGGACACCGTTGCCCCTGCCAAGACTAAGACCAAACAATCAAGCCGCAACTCACATTGCGTCCCTTTCTTCAAGGGCAAAGGGTGTCCCCGTCCAGATACATGTAAGTTTTTGCACACTGCTGAAAAGAAACCGCCGCCCAGACGCCACCCGTCGTCTCGTGATCCTCCCAGGAATCGCCAATCATCTCAACATCGTAGAGACGCTCGAGGCAGCGCCTCTGGCGCGGCTACTTCGAGGCCTCCAGCTGCCAGGTATTTTTGCTACGATTTCGCAAAGGGTAATATGTGTCAGCGCACTGGTTGCAACCGGCACCACGTGCATCCTTGCGTCTTCTATCAGAAGGGCAATTGCACCAACGGGGATACCTGCAAATTTGCCCACTATAAAAATGGCTTCAAGACGCCGCCTCGCAGCCCCAGCAGGCCCAGAAGCGAACAGAGGTTCCCCTCCCGAAGCCCAGGTGGTAGACGCTGGTCGCAGAGATCACGATCTTTCACCAGGAGTCCGGGGGGCAGGGCTTACTCCAGGAGTCCGGGGGGCAACCGTCGTTTCTCAACGAACACTCGACAGCCCTCCAAGAGCCCAGGTGGCACTCGCTGGTCCCAGAAGGACTCGCGATCGCCGTCTCGTTCGTCTCAGCGGCAAGGCCGATCACGTAGTCCAGGCGGTACAAGATGGTCTCAGAGAGATTCACGATCTGGCTCCCGTTCCAGTCGGACATCGCAGTCCAGTCAACGACAGCGCTCTCCCGCTCGGAACACCAACCGAGTGTACGTGATACGCGAGAAGATCCTCGCAGTTTCACCTACACATGGTATCTCAAAGGCCCAGATTCTCAAGACCAAACCGCCTGCGACGACATCGACACCAAAACTAAAGGTTCGCTGGAACCTTGCTGCTACCGATATCGACTTTTTCACGGTTCGACGTAAGATGAGACCGTATCGGGAGTCACCAAACAAAGGCGGTGCTGTCCACGTTCCAGATCCAATACCCGATTGGTGGTGGATCCGTTCTCAGGCTCATCTGACACGCGCCCAGGAGAATGCATTCGCCCTCATACGGAGGCTGGACGACGACGAGGACATCCACTTCGATTATTGCTACGTCGCAATTCCACAGGAGGACGTGCTGCTCCACACATATGCCACGGCGCAGCAGGCAACTGCAGCACCAGAGCAGCAGGAAACTGCAGCTTCGTCGCGGCAGGAAACTGCAGCCAGCGCCCC